GATGTTCAACCTTTTCTGGGATGGCATTTTTGGGGAACATTAAGAATGTAAAATTTTCATAGGAGGTATTATCATCAGATTATGGATCATTTGTTCTGTATGCGGCTTTATATCCTGCAAGCTTACAGGTTTTCTAGCTCCTGATTACTAATTACTTGCTTAAAGACTTAAACACTATTTCAAACAGAGCATGTTTTCCTTGGGATAACTTGTTATTGCTGAGACAGCATGTACAGTCTGTTTGATTTTTTTTTTTTCACGGCAAAGAATATAGTTTCTTTTCCTGCACATTCATCTTTTCAGCAGGTTGCTGCTAGAATGCATGGTTAGGTTTATCGCCACCATTGATTTTTATGATGTGATCAAGATTTTTCTGTTGAGGTTAAGTGGTGTGTGCAGCATTGATTCAGTCAGCTATCTAGAGGTCAACATGTTCCAAACTTCCAAAACAAGCCAGTGCTTGACTTACTTTAATTGCATGTTCATATAAACCTCTCAAACCAAATGTAGTTTTGCTTCTTTGCCTACGGCCTGTTGAATTTTCTAGGAACAGTGGAGTGTAAGTTCATCTGGGTCTGAATTCAGTAATATACTAGTTACTGGAAGGGGAGGAAGGAGCGCTGAAGATGTAGAGTGGTTTGTTACCTTAGGTAGTTGCTATTTTAGTCATTACTTGAAACTCAGTATGCATAATCTTTGAGAAATTATTTCCTGGATCAATTTAAATCAAGGAACGCAACCATATATTTAAGTTGAGGATAGCAGCCTGCATGCCTTGAATTTAAACTGCAAAAGCAAACTGGTGAATAGCGCTTGCTCCTCCTCTGCTGGTGTGTCTTGCAGTTCCTGGAAAACGACACGGTCATGATAATGGAGAAAAATTGCATATTGGTCATTCTGAGTTTGGTGGCGTTTTCCTCAGTCCTCTCTGCCTTTTCTCCCCAGACTGACTGCTGGGTTCATAATGTCACTCTCAAGCTCTGGGAAGGTGCCTGGAAAACACTGAGACTCTGCTTAGGATATTACCTGTATTTTTCTTGAATGCTTTTCTGTAGGTACATATTTCAAGCAGCATTTGTCTCTTATGGTAACTATTTAAATACTAATTTCCTAGCCTATTCTACATTTTAAAGTTGTATTAGTAAAGAGGTGCTCTTAACAGAGAGTGTTAAAATGGAAGAAAAAAATTCGGATTAAGTAAATTGACCTGTGAGTAAGGAATTGCTGAATGAGTTCCCACCCTGCTTTTTCATGACTGCGTGCTATTGCTAACTTTCACATTTTGTCTCTTAAAAAAACTGCTTTCTGGTACAGGGTTTGGAAACTGCCAAATATGAAAGTAATGTTGGCTTGGGAACTGGTGTATCCTTTAGCATGAATTATTTATATTGCCCCAAAATAAGGAATTATTCCATAATGTAGCTCCAGGGGCAAATGTTTCGGACTTGTAATGCAGTTCCCCAAATAACCAGTACTTAACGACAGGCCGATATTTCTTTATTTTCCCAGGTCAATATTTTGTCTTCTGGATTCCCTCAGCAGAGTTGCATTGTTAGTGAGAGAACCTTAATTTTGGAAGGAAAGCTAATACAGTGAAGTTGTCCCACCTGGAACCAGGAGGCATTTTCCATAGATCTTTGGTGAAAAAGCTCCGTACCTGATGTCAGTCTGGGCACGAGGGGGCTTCGGTCTGTTTTGTTGAACATAGTCTGCTTTAAATTCTCCTACAGGCATCGGTTTTTTGGGTGAACTTTTTACTAAGTGTGAGGTTACAGTGCTGATGAGTATTAAATACGTGTTTATGGCTTACATTAGGAATTTATATCTTTACATGTAATCACTCAGTCTGTTTTTGTGGATTCCTCTGTTGAGTGGAAATATTACTAATATTGTGGCACGTAAGAGCATTGTTGCAATGCTGTGAAATCATGGAAGACCTAAATCTACTTCCTGGCCTTCGTAAAACTTTTCCATATGTGCATTAGTCAAAAATACTCCACCAAGTTTGTGATGCTTCCAAAATACAGCATAGGGGATTTACATCGATGTGTGCTAGACATTGCTTTCCTCTAATCTTCTTGTAAAGGGTCTTTCCCTTTCCAAGACAATGCTTTTAGAAATGGGAAGTGAGAGCAACGCAGTACTGAGGTGTGCTACTCCACCAGTATTGTGGAAGATTTGGGAAGTCTAAGTTCAGTGGCTTTTCTGGTGATTGCCGGCAGTAGAAATCCCTATGTTCACACACTGTCTAAACTATTTTCCCAGCAAGAAGTGAGATTTTTTTTTTTAAATGAAAACTGAACTTTGTTATGAAGTGGCGGTGTCTGGTGATGTCTTAAACTCTAGCAAATTTTACTACAGTATTTTATTTATTGGCTACAAATCCAGTGAGTTGAAGATCTAATATCTTCATCTTTTTCCTTGAATATTGAAGGGTAGAATTCATCCTATTCTTGGTCTTTTTACCAAGCCAGGGATTTATTTCTGCTCAGGGAACCTCCTGGAACCTCCCATAGGCTAGATTACATGCACACCATGTTGCTTGAGTTAGTACTTTGTGGATCATTTAAAAGGCTGGATTTCAAATATCCTTGTGGCTTAGACATGTGGAAATGAACACTGAATGTGAAAAGAAGTGGGCAAAAAAAAAAGGTTTCTGGATAATCTTATGTCCACTAATATCAGTTAACTAAGATGTTCAGGTGAAGCAGCCTCTGTAATTGCTGATTTCATCAGCATTTTAAGATACTTTCTTTTCAAAAAGTAGATATACTTTAAGTACATGGAAAAGATCTGTTGTTTCAGTGATCTAACAATTCTTAAATTTAAAACCAAAGCTAGTGCGAGGAGAGAACAAACCTTGATAATTTTTAAGCTCAAAGGTTCAGCATCACTTACCAGTTAAATTGCATCTAAAGTATAATCCCTAAACATTGGGACAATTAGGCTCGTAATCATCTGCGATGTGTGAAGTGACTGTGGTTACCAACATCAGCGAATAAGCCTGACTTTATTTTTCCTCCGATTTGTTTTTCTGCTGTGCTAATACTGATATTACCACCCTGGAGCTGGGAGCTCTTGCCGCTAAGGCTTTGGATTGCTCAGTGCTGTGATACAGTCAAAAGTTTAATCTGTGATTTAGGGTTGTTGAGCGTCACCGGAATGGAAATTACTTACCAGGCTCTGATAACTTGGTGGGAATTCACTGTCCTGCTGCAGTTTTAGTCACGATTGGTAACATTTAATTCCTGGCATGTCAGGAAGAAGCACTGATGAATCAAAGATAGCTTGTTTAAAGAAGTCTTAACTAGATGGGGGGAGCGGCAAAGAGTATTCTCGAACTTGTGTTACTGGAAATGTCTGCAACAATGTCAGTTTGTGTTTAAGGAGCAGTTTGGTTTTTAGTAAAGGCCTTTGTGTATCATTGGGCTGGCAGTGATGAGAGGCAGCTTTAAAAAAAAAAGTAAACTGTTCATTGCAAGAAATAACTGAGAAACTGGTTTTAATGGAACTATTTCTAGGCCAGAGCTAAGCGATACCTGTTTTGTTGTCCAGTATACTCAGCTGTGATCTGATAAGGATATTTCTGTAAGGTGATTTCTAAATTTATCAGTTTATTTTTGTATGCTGTACTTAGCTATTTTACTTTTGATAGAGGTAAATTTATAATATACTGGATGTTTGTGTGAAGCTGCTGCTGCTGAGGAGATGGAAGCAAATTTGAGCAGTAAGTTGGCAAATCTTGTGACAGTATAGTATTTAAAATTGCACACTTGTGTACATATTTAACTCAAACTATGTTTTACTATGCAAGAGGTCCTCGGGTACTTCTTAGCAGTGGGGTAAGAAGTCCTGTGTGTTAAAAAAATGCAAAACCAAAAAACAACACCCAAACCCAAAAGACCTTGTTTCCTGAATGTATCTGCGTTCTACATAATAATTGTGCACGTCTTACTGTGTTTCAACCAATAAATTTTCAAGTCTTCACGTC